TATTATGGGGCCTAACACCTAGGCAACTAGTGAATCCTAGGAGAGGAAAAATTTGCAAGTAAAGTATGAGCCCATCTAATGGCTTATCCTGCCAAATGAACATCACCTATCATATGGAATACTAAGAATGTTCAGCAAGATGTACTTATTTAAATATATATATATATATATATGTGTGTGTGTGTGTGTGTGTGTGTGTGTGTGTATTTGTGTGTGAGAGAGAGAGGGGGAGGGAGAGAGAGAGAGAGAATAATAAAGAAAAAGGAAGCCATGAATTTGAGAGTATGTAAGAGGCTTGGAGGGAGAAGACATGATGGGTATTGGAGGGAAGAATAAAAAGGATGTATGATGTAAATATGTTTTTACTTTTTTAAAGATTAAAATAAAAAGTACTGTTTTAAGATAACAACTCCAGTTCTGAGTTCAGTAAACAGTTTTTTTCGAGATATCTGAGTCATATGTTTTACTTGAAAATAGAAGCAATGAATTATCACCCTGTGAAATGATAAACTTTGTAGAGAAAAAATAAGCACTTTGTTTAGATGCTATTATCAAGAAAAATTAAAGTTTAAACCATAAATTTAAATCAAAATAGCTTTTTATATAACACAATAAACACAGAAGCAGAAAACAAAATGCCGTTTCTTTTATACCAGTTTTATATTTCTAACAACTGTGTTCAAATTAGAGTTATATGGCAGTTGATCATTTCTTGTACTTGTTACTGATCAAACTAGTAGCAAAGCAACAAAGTTTCCTGTTTAAACACGCAGTGTGTTTTGTCTATCTTATGGGTTATAGAGGAGCTTACAAAATGAATTTTGTTGCAATCTCATTCCAAAGACGTAGAAGTTGTGTTTTATAGACAGACATCATAAAAATAGCTTGCTGTGAGATATAGAAAACAACCCAACCTGTGGGAGTTAATCAAGTCCTAGCAGTTAACACTGAAAGACAGAGCTGAACTTCCATGTTCTTCTTTAGATAATTACCCTCTGAAATTACAATGAATAAAACAAAAGAAAACAACTCTGAAATCACATGAGAACACAGGAAATTTGTGAACTACATTGAAACCAGAAAAGCCTCATTTATTTTCCCACAAAGCTCAGCAGCTCCTTCTTTATCAACTAAAGCTCCAGGATCAGTCTAGTCTTACCCCTGCCTGGAGCACATGAAGACAATCATAAAAATATCACATCTTATTCTATTCCTCAGCTCTTCTTAACTTTATAACCCTTCCAAATCTACAAACCAAAATTCTAATTCTATCATTTGTTTGAAATGATAGATCTATTATTGTTTGAACGTTAATTAGACCCCAAATCTCCTTTGCTGACAACATTGTCTTGTGAAGGAAGGTTCTGGTTGGGACAGTTGAGAGGTGACTGGGATGTGAGGGCCCTACAGTCATGAATGGATTAGCCCATTCGTGCATTCATAGTTCTAAGGTATACTGTGAAGTGGCAGAAACTTTAGAAGATGGAACTGCCAAGAAGTAGGGAGCCAGTTTCTCCTTCCTTTCCTATGCCTCTTTCTTATCACGTTTGCTCCTCCAAATCAACTCTCCCATGAGGCTCTGTATCACCACAATTCCAGAAATAACGGCGCCAAGTAACAATGGACAAATTCTTTTGAAAGAATCTGTCAAAAAATTATTCCCCGTTCAACCTGCCATACTCAGGTACTTTTTTTTTCTACAGTGATGGAAGTCCATTGAAAGACACATCTTGCTGGGTCACCCTCAGTTCCTCATAGTATAAGTTTCCTCTTTGTAATGAGCAACAAGTCTACCCACAGGCATTTCTGTTGGCCACTGACTGAAGTCAAAGCCTAAGAATGCTTGACTCCAAAAGTGCTGATATGTTAGAAAGTACAAGCTCTGTGAACTTTCAAAAAGTCCAAATAGATTTCTAAGGAGGGAGAATGTCAAGAAAAAAACATGGATCTATGAAAAAAAGCTGAGTTAGAAGTCATAAGTAGAGAGGTTACCTACCCTGGGTCCATGTAGCACCATGGAGTTTTGCTATGGTTCTGTTTCAAAAGAAAATAAAGACCTGACCATCCATATCAGCAGGACATCACTCAAGGGGAGAAAGTCTACCACAATGTTAAAAATATTGTTATTGTTATAGAAAAGTACATCAGAAAAGCATAATGTGATTTGAGAACTAAAGATCTTTCCAGTTAATAAGTAGCATAATCATAATAGATGAATGTTGAATAGCATTTTAGGAAGACATAGACAGACTCTGTATTTAGAAGAAATTAAAATCTTAAGTAGCCTGTCATAGAAAACACGGACACACATTTATTTTTAAAAAGTAACAAAAATAATAATTATTATTATTACAACAATATAAATATAATGAGTTTCTTAAAGTGGGCATTGGTGTACCAAGTTGAGCACTTTAATTTTCACTGATTTCTGACAAGTACTGTGCCAAATCTACCCTGTTTTAATCCACTGTTAAACCAAGCTGTATACTCTAACTCCATGGGTTCCTACGCTTGGTTACTAATCTTTCATTTCTTGGAAGCATTTAGCATTCAGACTCTGAACGTAGCTCTCTCTGTGGGGTGCATGTCCTTGCCTAATCTTATCTTGCCCTCAACCCTTTGCCTACATAGCAAGCACCTGCTAGCCACAGATGCTTGCTACCAAAACCAAATTCTGTTATGTCTCCCTTCTGATAATCTGCCTGGCAGATTAACACCAAGCACACAGGAAAATTCTGTTTCAAACCTTTTGATATTATTTTTATTTTCTGGTTCTGAGGTTTTTATATTCCTTTCAAAATGCTCCTTGTTTAAATTGGAGAATATATGTGAACTTATTCTCCTACCTTATACTTCACTTTTTTATTTCTTCCCGAAAAGCAATATTATTCACTTATTTAGTATTTTATGTGTAAGAGGGTTTTGCCCGTATGCATACCATTGTACTACGTGTGTGGATGGTTTCTCACAGATCAGAAAAGTGCATTGGATCCCCTAGAATTGGAGTAACAAACAATTTTGAAATACCATGAAGATGTTGACAAAAAAACAAGTACTATAAAACAGTGATTCATCTCTCAAGCCTTTTTTTAAAGATATATTCTCATTCTGTAGTTTACTCTAAAACAACCTGACAATCTGCATGTCTCAGCCTTATTACTGCTGGGAGTACAGAAATGTAAGGCTGCACTCAGGTGACTCTGGACTTTTAAATGGGATACAACTAACCACAACATTGGTGTCCTCCTCAAGTAGATGTTGCAGCACTGTTAATGCAGGAAGCCAAATGTACTTGAGGACTACAAAAAGCAAGCCCAGGTATATGGTGTGGCAGAGCTGGGTAGGAAGCAAAGATGATTTTCAGGTAGATCCATTAAAAACATACATTGAGAGATTGTAATACAGGAGAAACAAGTTTTTGGTGAGGTTTTAGAGTTATGTGTGAGTTTGAGATGTATAAATCACTAAGAAAATGGACACAAAAGTATCTTAAGCCTTATAATAGCATACAAGGCAGCATATTTCCTTCAATTAACAGGTATTCATTCTCTCATATTTAAGTTGAAGGAACAGAGCAGCCATTGAGGGGAAGCAGTTGGAGGTAATGCAAGAGGAAGCTACTAAAGAATCTAGGAAGGAAAAGCATAGCTGACTTAGCTAGTGGGTAAGGGAAGAAGACAGTGCAAAAGATTTCAGAAATCTGGACAAGTCATGGGACACCAAGACAGTAAAATAGACAGCCGTGCCATGGCAGGTCATTAGCTAACTGGGGTATCTACCAAGGATGTAACCCAGATTTAGGGCTGAGTAACAAGGTGAAAGGAGGTACCACTGACATAGAGATGAAAAACTGGGAGAGAGAGCAAGTTTAGTACTGAGTTCAAGATGAACACTTTTTTTTCTAGCTGCAGGATACTGGGTCAGTCTCTTAATCTCTTTGTTTACTCATTTAAAAACATAATAGTATATAGTACTTTTAAACCAGTGTAAAAATTTATGCTTACACTTTTAAAATCACTTACTACATGAAAGTCACATGCACATGCATATTACATATATTAATTGCCTCACTCTTTTTCTAAAACTACCCCATGAAATATGCATTTATTGCCCACATTTTACTGTAGAGAATCATGGACACTAAGAGTATTACTAACTTACCCTAGATCACAGAATTGGGACTTTGGAAGATCCCAGCTTAAATATATAGAAGATGGAAATAAAAAGGGTACCTAAATCAATAATTTATAATGATTTCCACTAAATACAAAACATTTGAAAAATTGTTATCAGAGTCCCTTGTGGTTATCTAACCTAGGAATATAAACATATTTTACTTATTTACTTATAATAAAAGAACTTATGCAATGCAATTTAGCTTTGCTGACACCTAGGATATATCTAAGCAAAATATGGCACATATTTGAGGGGTATTTCTCAAGTTGTTTTTAATAGAAGCATGAAAACTATGAAAAAGCAGAGTGACAAGCATATATGCTGAAAGAGATTACCCAGTTTTAAGTCAATGTGTAGCATGTTAGCATCTATAACTAGAACACTAGACACAGAGATACAGGAGTCCATCATTAGATTAGAGCTACAAGATGTAGATCAAACAATGAACTTGGATAAGGTTCCTTAGAAGATGAGTTGGTATGGAAGGATAGAGCCAGATAATATGAAAACTGGAAAGAGACTGACTCTCTCGCTTCAACAGGTGTATAAAAGAACTTTAAATGTCTATTAGTCTGAGTCCTTTGCAAAAGTCAGTAGACCCTGGTTTGATATTCTTTGAAGAACCATTCCTAATCTAATGTTTGATGGTTTCTCAGGAAAATAAAATGTGAACATTAGGGGAATAGCTAAAGGTATATTTCTATCACTAAATCTCAGAAAACAAGCCCAGATTCATTGTTGTGCCATGGAAAATAACCGCTAAGCACGCTTCTCTTTTAATGAAAGGCTATTCAAATTGATTCAATTGCTTGTTTGCTCTACAGAATTTCACCTTCAGAAATGCTCCCCCCTGTTACTATGTACAGAAGCTCTGCATGGCCGAATTGAGAAGGCAAGATGGCATCCTGGACACTCAAGAGGAATATTAATGGGTTGGAGCAGATGATGTGATAATTATTGTCAACTACTTTTGTTTGTCCCCCAATGCTAAAATTTCCCTTTCCCTGTTTATGATTGTATTCTTTGGTGTTTCCTGTTAAAACAGAAGCTTTGTACTACACTGTTATAGGCTACAGGGCAAGGTTTCTACATATAGATGCATAGAAGACAGAAGATGTAAACTTTCTATTCCCTTTCAAAAGATTGACAAGGAAACCAAGAAAAGAAATAAATAGTAATGACTGGAGCTCGTTGATTAGCCAGCCACACCCACTATACCCAGAAAAGTTTAAGGAAAATGTGGCCAGGCCAGAAAGATAATTTACTGTACAAACTATGGCCACTCATAAAATAAAAGCAAGAAAAATTGCAACCAGGCAGGAGGAAAGTTAATAAATCCTCAAGAAGCTCTCTGGACAAACAGTGGGAAATACTGTGCTCAGTGTTCCACTGATTTATCCTGAGCAGGGTATGTGTAGCAAAACGAGTTTAGGAAACTGAGCATGGAAAACTTGCTATGTCTTACATGCAAGTAGAGAAAAATGTAAGACATCATTACTGGGCAAAATGAATGAGCTTTGTGGACTGAGTCACTGGAGAAACTTTAGTAACTGAGTTTCTAACAAGAATCACAGAACAAGCCGGGCGGTGGTGGCGCATGCCTTTAATCCCAGCACTCTCCCGGGAGGCAGAGGCAGGCAGATCTCTGTGAGTTCGAGGCCGGGCTGGACTGACAGCCTCCAAAACAATACAGAGAAACCCTGTCTCATAAAACCAAAAAAAAAAAAAAGCACAGAACAATGTAGAGCTTTCTTTTAGTATATCTTAAATTTTGTGAGTGGATGATCTATTTTAGTTTGAGAAGCAAAAATGAAAGCAAATGAATACACATCAACAAAAGAAACCATCAGATTAGAAAAAAGAAAGTATGGCTAATGGTACTGATATTGGTAATAATAGTCTTTAACATCTAACTCCATATTTTATTGAAAAATATTTCACAGATCTCTGTGCTTTATAGATGATGTGCACGGATATTTTTTTAAATGGTTGTGAAGCATGAGATGAAGGAACATAAGTTTTTTGTTTTGTTTTGTTTTTCAATACAGGATTTCTCTGTATTGCTTTTGGAGCCTGTGCTGGAACTTGCTCTGTAGACCAAGATGGCCTCAAACTCACAGATATCCTCCTGCCTCTGCCTTCCAAGTGCTAAGATTAAAGGCTTGTGCCACCAACCCCCAGCCAAAAGAACCTAATTCTTTTTTTTTTTCTCCAGATTTATTTTGGTAAAAAAAAAAGATATAACCTTTCAAAAATTACATTAATGTTTAACATGCATTCAAATAACTTTCTTTTTTTTCCAGTTTAAATTTAGATAAGAAACGAGGTTGCTTCACAAGTCAGTTCCAGGTCCCTCTCCCATTCCCTCCCCTCCTCCCATGCCACCCCCCCAACCCCCCCCCCGTTATCCCCTCATTCCCCCAGGGAGGGTGAGGCCCTCCATGGGGGTGTCCATAGTCTGTCATTTCATATAGGGCAGGGCCTAGACCCTTCCCCAAGAGTTCAGGGTGAGAGTGCACCTCACATTGTTCTATGGGAGTCCAAAGTCCGTGTGTATACTTGGGATGGGTACTGATCTGCTGCCCAAGGCTCAATAGGTTCCGTAGGCCTCCTCATTGACACCCAAATTCAGGGGGTATTGATCAGTCCCATGCTGGATTCCCAGGCTGATGCCTGGGATTCAAGAGTTAACCTTTGTCTGGTCAGCTGTTTCTGGGGGGTTAAACCAGCCCAGTCTTAATCCCTTTGATCATCAGTCCTCCCTCTCTGTTACTGGATTTCTTGAGTTCAGCTCAGTACTTAACCGGCCACTAAATGAAGTTTCTGTTTCCCAGACTCTCTGGCCATAGGATTGTAGGCTGGCACTCCCCAGATCTATGTCTAAAATCCATATATGAGAGAGTACATGCCATGTTTCTCTTTTTGTGACTGGGTTACCTCACTCAGGATGGTTTCTTCTAGTGTCATCCATTTGCCTGCGAATCTCATGATTCCATTATTTTTTTCTGCTGAATAGTACTCCATTGTGTAGATGTACCACATTTTCTCTATCCACTCTTCGGGTGAGGGACATCTAGGTTGCTTCCAAGTTCTGGCTATTACAAATAAAGCTGCTATGAACATAGTGGAACAGACATCTTTGTTGTATGAATGGGCATCTTTTGGATATATGCCTAAGAGTGGAGTTGCTGGGTCATGTGGTAGGTTTATTCCCATTTTTCTGAGGAATCTCCATACTGATTTCCAAAGTGGCTGAACCAGTTGGCACTCCCACCAGCAATGGAGGAGTGTTCCCCTTTCACCACATCCTCTCCAGCATAAATTGTCATTGGTGTTTTTGATTTTAGCCATTCTGACAGGAGTGAGATGGTATCTCAGAGTTGTTTTGATTTGCATTTCCCAGATGGCTAAGGATGTTGAGCACTTTCTCAAGTGCCTCTCAGCCATTTTAGACTCCTCTATTGAAATCTCTCTATTTAGTTCTGCAGCCCACTTTTTAATTGGGTCCTTTGCTGTTTTGGAGACTTGCTTCTTGAATTCTTTGTAAATTTTGGAGATCAACCCTCTGTCAGATGTGGGATTAGTGAATATTTTTTCCCATTCTGTGGGCTGCCTTTTTGTCTTGCTGACTGTGTCCTTTGCCTTACAGAAGCTTCTCAGTTTCAGTAGGTCCCATTTATTAATTGTTGATCTCACTGTCTGTGCTACTGGTGTTATGTTCAGGAAGTTGTCTCCTGTACCAATTCGTTCAAGGGTACCACCCACTTTCTCTTCTAAGAGGAAGAACCTAATTCTTAAGTTATTAAAATGATCGCTTTATGGGCATAGTTCTTAGTGAACATTTAAGATTAGAAAACTTTTCATGTACGTCTCTCTTAGGGTCCTCCTTGTTTCCTAGCTTGTATGGTGGTGTGGATTGTAGGCTGGTACTCCTTTGATCTATGTCTAAAATCCATATACAAATGAGTACATTCCATTTTTGTGTTTTGTGACTGGGTTACCTCACTCAGCATCTTACATAGCAGCTTCTGGTAAAATGAAAGCCAGTCATAAGGAAGGATGCTCCTTGGTCAGCACTAACTTGATTTCTCCATATCCTTTGGCCAAATGACGTGTAGTCTTCAGAAATAAATCCTAACCATCAAGTTCTGGTGGGCAACCAAGAGCAGTGGCAGCCAAGTTATACTGTTTGGGTATCTCTGAATACCTATAACCAAAAACTTGAGGGAAGTTATCTAGCACCTACCATTGGTTTTTTGTTTGTTTGTGATCTATGGCTTCTTGGAGAAGCACTATCTTTTGTATAGGATAATTCCAAGTAAATCATTGTAAAACTTAACAAACAAAACAAGAAAGCTTTTCCTTATATTATTTTTAAATAATTAAGAATGTATTTAGTGGGTGTTTGTTACTGTAACACTGTTGTTTCTTTCTTTCTTTCTTTCTTTTGGTTTTTTTTTTCGAGACAGGGTTTCTCTGTATTGTTTTGGAGGCTGTCCTGGAACTATCTCTGTAGAACAGGCTGGCCTCGAACTCACAGAGATCCACCTGCCTCTGCCTCCCGAGTGCTGGGTTTAAAGGCATGCGCCACCAACGCCCGGCTAACACTGTTGTTTCTTACAAGTGAGATTGCAGAGGACCTTACCTGAATGGGCCTTTTATCTCAGCTATTAACCCCACTCTGAGTAATACTCCACATCTCTGTATGTGTGTGCATGAATTCTCAAGCACAGAGCAGTGACCAGGGCCAGTGGAACCTTCCTTAGTCAAAGCTGTCTCTCCTTCGTTGCTCCCCAAAGTTGACTTGTACAGTAAGGGTTATGCGTACATTTGAACAGTCAGGGAGTCAAACGACTCTGCCTCCATCCCTCCTTTTGTTATTGTCCTGACCATCTCTAGTATCTGTTTGGATCCATTTTTCCTTCTGCAGACTGTTCCACTACAGGAGTTGTAGGAGAAATACCTGCAAAGTCTTCCCATGTTTTCATTATTAATGCTTTTTTGTTTGTTAATTACATCAGAATGCTTTATTCTATATGAACACAACTGAGAACTTCTAAAAAGAAACCCCTTCCTTATAAGGGGCCAACAAAGTCTAGTAATGTTCCAGGCTGTCTAGAACAGACATTTAATAAGTACTCATTTAATGTCTGGGTGAACCTAGAAGACAATGATCCCACCAAGTACTGCTGTTTTGTGCTTCACTCATGAAGTCATGTCTTAGAAAGGCTGTTTTGCTCACTCAATGCTTGGTGTTCTATGCCATGGAACTATTGTACCAAATGAGCTGATTTTTATTACATCATTTCTCACCTTCCCTGGACAATATGAAGCAATGCACTTTATGGTGGCATTGATCACATTCCATAGAGTGATACTGACTTTACAGAAGAAAATACAGATCTGTAAGTGATTTTTAATCACATTGAGATGATAATAATTAATCATACCTTAAACATGACAATATGGTTATTTTGTGGTGGTGGTAACTTTTTCTTGATCAGACACGTTCACTGTGTATCTCAGGATGTGTGGCCTATAACAGTGACCCTCTTGTCCCAGTCTCCTGAGAGGAGTACAAACAACAACTTGTCTGTCATGCCCCAATAACTTTTTTAATTTTCTACAAAAATTTAGCAGGAGCATAAAATTTACACTTTATTTGAAGAAAAGACATTTCAAGGATAGAGATGATAATAATAGTTAAAGCATTTCCTTATTTCACTTTCAAACTTTAGAAGCACTGAAGGGCAAAGCAGTCTCCTAGCAGATCATACTCTGCTCTTTGTGAATGTGGCCAAGTTGTCTCATATGTCCCTTTCCAGCAGCTTGGCCAGTTTCCTGTCATTTCTTCTTTCATATGCCAGCGCTTCTATGTCAAAGGTCTCTGGGCATATTACAAAACATCTTCAACAATTTAGCAGAGAATTACAAGGGACCTAACTAAAAATGCTATGTATTTTTGCAAATGGCCCACCTTGTAAAAGACACAAAACAGAATTTACCCTATTCTTAAAAATGTTATTGGGGCTGAGACTCACTTGGTAGTGATTACTTAGCATTTGTGTATGAAACTCTTGATTTGCTTGCTAGCATCACATGTAGGGGCTTGGAAACTCATACCTGTAATTGCAGCAATGGGGTGACAGAAAAAGAGCACCATAAGTTCAAGGTTATTCTACCCGATCTATGTAATGAGTTTGAAATCAGCCTTGGATATTTGAGACACTGTCTCAAAACAAAGAAATGAAAGCAATCTGTAGCAGACTGCTAGCCAGTTGTACATTCTTTTCAGTGTCTCAGCTAATTTCT